TTTTTTTTTAAAAAAGTAAAATTTTACATTAAAAAAATAAGTTCTGATTTTTAATTTAAAATTAACCAATAAAAATCTAATGGACCATGATTGGTGCACACCCAGATCCAACACCCGAGTGTGCACCTCTCTACATAAAAAAAAAAATGAGAACAACCGGTTGGGTTTTTTAAGTTTGTTTGCTTTTATCGTTTTATATATTAACACTTATCTCTTTTTTTAACATTTTATATTTATTGATTTTTGAATAATATAATTAATTTTTATTTTTTATTTAAAAATATTTACTTTATTTTATTTTATTTTCTATTTAATCATCGTGTTGAGTGATTGAGTGAAGAGAGGATTATCATGGTTGGGGCCCAAATTCCCGCGTGCTTGACTATTTCACATGGGAACGGAAAAGCTGTTCATTTCTCTTTCACAATGAACGAGGTCAATTAACAAACAAAAAAAGCCCAATCACCTTTCTTTCTGCCACTTTCAATAATTGCCGATTGAGAGGTGAGCTCATTTCCATTTCTCTATTTTACACCAAGAGCAGTGCTAGGGGCACTCGCCTCCTGCACTCTCCGGCCAGCACTCCCCCTTTCATTGGGCCACGTAAGGTTGTTTAGCTCTGAAGTGCAACCTCTCTCGCGAACTAATATAACGTGGCCACTGAGCAATTTCAGGAGTTGATCTTGATCATGGGGGGACATGGCCCAGTCTCATTACTACGTAGGATCACCTCTGATTAATTTAAAAGTGTCAAAGCCGGCATCATGTGAGTCTATAAGAGGAAAAAAAGGACCAATCCAATACCCACCCCACTTGCCCATGTCTTTTACTTCCAGCCTCATTTGATGGGCCCCTACCTGCTAAAGATAGAGGAAAGATTGAGTCCTTCACTTCTAGTTGTCCTTCAAGGAAGCTTCCTCGCTGCCCACCATCAATGACCAGAAAATGTGAAAAGAGGTTCATATTTTCTAGATCCGTTTACTCATTCCAAGTGGGAATTAGGTATTGAAATTATTAAAATCTTATTAATAAGTTAATGTAAGGAATAAAAATTTTAGGTTTAAATAAATATTTGTGTTTAAATAAATAAGTGTTTTTTTAATATTTGTGTTTAAATATTTAATTTATTAATTATTTATTTTTTTTGTTTTTTTTTAACAGGGAAAATGTTATTAATTATTTAATTAAATTTATTTACATAATAATAATAATAATATTAAAATTAATATTTATTTTATATTTTTTATAT